CACGCAGGAATTCCTCGCGCTGCGGAAACCTGGTAAAATGTCTGATCTCCAGTTGCTTTGTTATTGCTATTTCTTGAGTAACTACTTATGTTTCTCTGAAGACTAAGCCAAGAATCAAGATTTTGGGGGGTGATGGGGTCAGGAAGACTTCAAAACTCTTTAAAACAACACTGATAAAGAATTCTCGTAAGAAATAGCTAAAACAATAGAAAATTATTCATGTGAAACACTGTAAAACCACAGCCACTCAAGTAGTTTGAAGAGGATTGCAGAAAGTCCATACTTTTTTTTTAATTTTATTTATTTTTCAACCAGTTCTTCAAGTTTTGCAGTCCAAAATCCCTATGTCAGATGCCAGAGGCTGAACTTTGTTCCCTATTACAGAGCAGTGTCAGGCCAAGATAAAAACCACATCTAAGCTTCATCTAAACAAGTGAAACTCCAATGAGCTTCCCTACAGAAAATACAAATCCCTCAAAGGCACACGTTTATCTTCATTTTATAAACACTGGAAGTGTTTAATAGGTTTATCAGGTATGATGTATTTTGGTCTACCACTCAAAGCAAAATCTATCAAACCTTTCTGAGTTGAAGTGTTAAGAACCCTAAGAACTTCCCAAAAAGGTACAACACAAGTGCCATAAGTGCTGTTCAGATCCTGCACATACTTTTTTTTCCCCACTCATTTGAACAGCTCTTCACACATTTCCGTTGATCTTACCAAATGAGAAAATGCTGCAGGAACGATGACTCAATGCAAACCCTCCAGGCTGATCGCTGTCCCATGAATAACTCTAATTGTTCTAACACTTTTACTAACAGATTTTTAGTAGGGTTGAGTAAATACTGATTTGATTAGCTTCTTTAGAAACTAAGATTTGATTAGTTGATCAAAACTAAGATTTGATTAGTTTTCTTCAGAAACTAATCTGAAAAAATTGCAGATTTTAATAGGGCATGATAGCCTTCCACTGAACAGCTTCTCATAAACTAGAACCTCATGGACATCCCTTATGAAAGCAATCAACCTTGTTAAAGCTAGATCTCTGGAATAAAGCCCTATGCCATGCAAATCAGAGAATTAATCATGATAAACGCTCAGTATAGCAATAAAATAAAGAATGACAATAATGATTATCATTTGAGCCCTACTTACTAGACTTTTACATGTGGAGTTGAAATACAGTGCCACTAAAGAGGCAGAAGCAGAATGATTAAAAGGTGTTTAATTTTAGCAAAAGTCCCTCTTCAATTCTGTGCCTCTGTGTAGACCGAGCTTCCCAGCCACACCACTAGAGTATTTTCAATTTGCTCCAACTGATGACACCTACCCAGGCCAAGTTCAACACCGCTGAGAAGCACCTGATTTAGGAATACAGTAGACTCTCCACTGGCCAAAGCCAAGCTAATACTTACCCATTGAATAAGCAGCACCAACAATAATAAACCTGAATCTAAACTCCCAACACAGAGTAACAGACAAAAGTATGTGCACAACTTTCAATCACCAAGAAGCTCCAGTGCAGCCAGCAGTGGTCTTGGGCTGTGGACTGCTGTATCTCTAAGCATCAGAGAAGAAACAGAGCACAGTCCTCACTCCCTCTCATTTCTCTGCACAAAACCACTTTGCTCCCACTGCTCACCCACAGATCTGAGAGTGGCTTGAGCTCTGTGAAACACCAAGAAGTCTTAGCACTTTGCTTACCTCTCAGCTGCTTGTTTACATGCTGAATGTGTTCAACCAGTCTCCAAAGAGTCACTTGTGTTACTTTAGAAATGAAGAGGACATCATGTTTTCATCATGCACCAAATACTCAGTGCAAAATACATGATCAGCAAGTGAACGGACGTACAGGAGCTATAATGAACAGCCCATAACCATGCTCCTCGCTTGCCTATAGCCTTCCAGGCTCAAATGAGTAATTAAGCAAGTAATTATTCTCCACCATGTGTTACATCTGCCAGCAGTGAGCAGATACAGCCTGGTCTCAGCTGGCTGGGCTCAGCCAACTGTGGCTTTGTCAACAGAGAACCAGACAGGCATTTAGCTGGTAAGGGCCGTTCTTTCTTCATCTTTCATGTGCGCGTTTCTGACCTGATTTGATGCAATCTGCAGAAAATTGAACAGAACTAGGTGAGCACTGCAGCATCTTCACAGGCCTGCACGTATCTCAGGCCTCTTCACAGCTCTTCAGTCTGTCTTGAAAGGCAAAAGGGCTGTCCAGCTAAAGTATCTGAAGAGCTCGTTAACAACAAGCTGCAATTCAAATGAAGCAAAGGCTGCTCCCATCCTTGGCAGCACTACCCACCAGATCGCAAAGCTCCTGTTCCCCGACTCTTTGCACAGTGCAGCCAGAGCTGAGACCTCTAGCCAAAATCCTCAAAACTCTCAGTGTTCAGGGATTTTTAAATCATTACTTTGCTTCTTTGCTCAAGTGTTTCGAAATTATGATTGAGAGACAATTCCTGAATGGTCACAGCCCTTTACGATGCTGTGAATTCCCAACTATCAGCGTACAAGGATAAAGACCTTCAAGATGTGTTTGCTGCCGTGGGACACCTTGCAAGACCAGAAATTACTGGGTTGGTTTTTTATGGGACAGAACCGCATCTTTGGGTTGTGAAAATGCAGTGCTGCTTCTTGGTATAGAATAGTGATTATTCTCTGTATTTAAGGATGGTTCTTACATTTCCTTCCACTCTATGAGAGTGGGTTCTCTTTGAACAAATCCTCATTCTTCCCAGTGCCAGGCCTGATGATCTACACACTCCTGCTGTTTTCTTTACTTTGTGCAGATACTCCGGTAAGTCTGATCCAAATCATGCTGGTACAAAGTATTCTCCACCAATTAAGTGGAGATGTAAAATACTTTCATGTTATTTAATTACAGGTGGGAGGCTACCTGCAGATTATCAACCCTTCATCACACAAGAAGTTCAACGTATGAGATAACAACTTCATTTTTAAAACAATTTTTCTATTGATGCTTCATGTCATACATGCATCTGTACATGAACAACAACAAAAAGTCCAGGGGAAGAATTACTAAGCATAAAAGAACCTAGCTAAAATCTGAAAACTCTCCGAAGTACAGACTATATTATGCATGGACTGATTTCTTGGATTGCTATGAGTGATTCCAGAAAGAAAACTACAGTTCACTCATACTGCAATATTACTCAAAAACCATGCATGCTTCCGTGCAGAGATCCACTGCAGAACAGGACATTTATTTCGGAATACTTGTGGACTTGCTTTATGTAGTGTGAATCTTAAACAGTAAGGAGAATGGTGAAGTGAGAAATGTAAGCGAGGTATTATTTGTCTCACCCACCTCTCAAAAGCAGCTCCTAAAAAATAAGTTTTGTATGGTGTAAATTACTGCACAAACCTTAACATAGTAGAATCACATCCAGGCAATCTCCAGACCTAATTCCCTCTTTCTCACTTAATCTGAACCAGATGACAAGTAAATCCACTGCAGCACAATGAGTTACATCAGAAAATGGTACGAGATGAGAATCAAGTCGTGTGAATCATCTGGGAATATTTTGCCCTTCCACAGCTTATCAAGGAGCTACAAAACCTGAAATACAGCGTCCACGGCTCTTAAGTATGGTAAACCCTTTTATGCTCCTGAGGCAATAAAAGCAATCATACAACACAAACAAGAAGAAACTTAGGCCCTTATCAAGATTATGACCCAAAATTAACCTATTAAAAAGCATTGTGTGAAAAACACTATGTTATCAATAACATTTTATAACAGAAGGTCTGGCAGATGGAAAAGTTCAGAACCAGTTTAATCAGCAATGTGCCCGTCTATCAGTTTTATCTTCCCAGATATCAACCTACATTGAAGAGGGGTTACATTCGTTCAAACACACACAGTTTAATGATCAACTCGTTGGTCTGCCTCTTCTGAAATGAAGAGGAGAATAAATAGATCAAATTCTTCAACCCAGAACAGCCACACTGTTAGTAGGAAAAGTCTCCGCATGCTGAACAACCAAAAAGTATCAGGAGCAGAAAACATGAAAATCATTCTAGTCTTTCTATTCATTGCCCCACTTGCTCTTCCAGCTAGAGCTGAGAAGGATTATTCCTCCTTTGATTCTGCAGTATCTCCCGAAACAAAGTCAAGATTTGCCATGTTAGATGATGTACGAATCTTAGCCAATGGACTCCTCCAGCTTGGGCACGGTCTTAAAGACTTTGTCCATAAGACAAAGGGGCAGATGAATGACATCTTTCAAAAACTTTACATTTTTGATAGGTCCTTTTATGAGCTCTCACAGCAAACCAGTGAAATCAAAGAAGAAGAAGAACAGCTCAGACAAACTACGGCCAGACTGCAAATCAACAATGAAGAGATAAAGAATCTCTCACAGGAGATGAACTCAAAGATTGAAGACCTCATACAAAACAAAATCCAGCTGCAAGAGAAAGTATGGGGACTGGAAGACAAAGTCACAAAACTGGCCGTTGTCCAGCCTTCAGTGCAAGAGACAAAAGAAATTTCTTCACTCAAAGTAAGTAGACTTGTGAAAGTGCCCTGACACACAAAGCCAAAGTATGGGTAGCTATGCAAAAGCAGCTTATGTTTTCCCTGCATCTTCACTGTGGTACTACTGTGTATTTTGAGAAATAAATCATTGCAATAATCTTAGAAGAATCGGTGTCTTAATACAACGTATTGTTTATTTGCAGTAAAATTCCCCAGTGAAATCAGTGAAAAAATTGTGACATTATAAGGCTCTCTATCTTTTTCAGTATTTTTTTGCACATTAATTTTAAGAAATTCTGTAATAATAATGATAAAAAGAATTTGCAATCAGGAAAGTTATGTGATTACCAAGCCTACAGTTTGTATCCATCAAACTCACTACAAATCAATACACTAGGAACTGCCTGCTCAGTATAAAACCAGGAAGCTTAAATCTTTAAAGAGGGGCATCTATAGTACCTATATGACCTCCAGGACCAAAGAACCTTGTAAGTGTTCAATACATGCAAGTATTTCCTACAGAAAAGGAAGTATTAACTGCATTTTGCAGAAGCATAGTTAAGGCTAAGCAATTTGCGTAAGAAAATTAGGATATTCATTTCAAAGCAGAAAGATGAATACAGATCTCTCAAATCCTAAGCTAATACCCAAAACACTGGGAGTCATTCCTTTTTTTGTGACTGGTGGCACATATTTAGTTTGACTCAAGGGCCAACTTCACAGAACGTAATTGTTCTGGACATGAAAATGGAAGGAAAATAAAAACAATAAAAGGTTGTGAAGGTCTTCTGCTTCTAACCACAACCCTCCTCCCTCCATGTCCTCAGGCTTTCGTGGAGCAGCAGGACAACCACATCAAGCAACTTCTCAAAATCGTAGAGGACCAGCATGTGCAACTCGACAGACAGCACAATCAAATAAAGGAGCTGGAGGACAAGGTACAGGAACCATCGCCAGTTCTCTTTTCAGAATCTGTCATCTCTTGTGACACTGAAGGAGTCAACGGCCCAACCACTCATTTGGGTCAGCCATCCCTCTTGTCACGGTTTGGGGGTGTAGAGGAGGGTATAAACAATTTTGATCGCAAACAGGTACCTTTTTGAGCGAGAGACGGCTGTGCTGTCAGGCAGGGGGCTGTATTTTCTGACTGCTAATTTTCTTTTTTTTTTCCCTCTTATTCATATTATTGTTCTTCCATTGGTCTTTAAGTACCATTACTTTCTATCTCTTTCTGCCTTTCCAACATTCACACCAATAGGGAGCCATGTTCTGCAGTTCAACATGTGTCACCGTAACGCTGGGTACAACTGACATGCTCATATTTAATTTATTCCTAAGAGGAGGCTATAAAAGGAAAATGCATTTCAGCCTAAGGAACTGTGGGTTCTGTGCTCTTTAGATGTTGGTATTATTTGTCTAAGTGATGTCACCTGAGGAAATAAGTTAAATCTGTTTGCACATTAAGGTGCACCTCATGAGAACGGGTCATTTACTTGCCTCATGAATCCTACCTTGTTCGAGCAGTGGCACAGCTGACGTCCACGCAACTGAAATCCACCAGCGCGCTTCTCAAGTTATTTTTATGTTGTAAATCGGGCATTCCAAAGGATTACATTAATGAGAAAAATTATTCTCTGCATGACATTGTTTGGCTTAATACACCAATCTCATCGTTTCAGAGCCTTGGGAAATTAACGGTCTGTAATTACGGCTCTTTCAGCTAAACCACATAGAGCTCCAGGACCTCACAGAGAACTCCTTCACGGGAGAGCAAACAGAATCAGATGCCACCTCCTTCCCTGCGCGCAACGTCACAGCTGTAACACACAAACCTGATGGTGAGACCTTATCTCTTAGATGTCACTACACAATCATTGCATCTGCAGTATTCTCCGTGAAAGTTTTGCGTTGGATTTAATAGTCAAAGACTAAAAGCAAAGGACTCTTAAATTATATACAGTGCTATGGGAAGGAGCTGGATTTCCTGTTTTGGAAAATGCCAACTTCTATTTAGCCCCACTACACGTGTACTCGTTTCCGCGGTGACATACAGAAACAACATCCCATAATGCAGTAATCTCGTCCTCAACCTTCAGCCTCCGTTCACCCCTGGTGAACACACGCCGTGACTATCCTTTTACTGACACTTCTGACGTTGCTGGTACCTGTCTCGGAAAGCATGAACAGAGAACTAATTTACTTCACATTGGCTAATTATAAGATTTGGGGGAGTTTTCTTTAAAGTTGAGGGGCGTTTTCCAATTGCAGCAATGGAAATGGTATTTATTGGGAACTTGTAAGGAGTAGGAAAGTTCATCTGCCAGAGTTTAGTGCCAGGCCTTACAAACTTTCCAAAATTATCTAAATTGAAACCTTGCCTAACTTATAAAATATAGGTGGCCCACCCTCCGTACAACTTGGCAGCTGCACTACCAAGCCCAAAGCAGTTTGTCCATTTCATGACACGTATTGTAAAATAAAATCACCAAAAAGATTGTTCTAGGTTTTGTTTTGGCTCTCTCTCATACTGAGCTTCGAGTTACAAAGCTGGATTAAAACCTACCACATCCAAACCAGGATTTGTGCCTGCTGTTTGCTTTCCCAGGTGCTGCTCCTGACTGCACTGCTCTCCATAACAGCGGCTTGCGGTCCAGTGGGGTTTACACTATTAAGCCCAACGGCTCAGAAGCTTTTGATGTCTACTGTGAAACAAAATTTGGTAAGACAGCTGTGCTAGCAACAGTCTAATTTTCACGTGAGTAGTTTCCTATAAGCCAAAAAACTGTGTCGAATCCTAAAGTACACAAAAACTTACTGTGATTTATGTATCCTCTTGACTTCTCTTACTGTCCTGTCTGTGCTCCGAACTCCGGTTTCCCATATCCTGAATTCTCCTTAACGCTGCTTTCGTTCTTTACTCACTTCTTGTTTACACCAAGGCAAGGACTTTCAAACATGCGACATAAATGAAGTATATATGAGGCACTGGCACAGGTTGCCCAGAGAAGTTGTGGCTGCCCCATCCCTGGAAGTGTTCAAGGCCAGGTTGGATGGGGCTTTGGGCAACCTGGTGTAGTGGAGGGGTTCCCTGGCCATTGCAGCGGGGTTGGAACTAGATGATCTTTAAGGTCCCTTCCAGCCCTAACCATTCTATGATTACATATTAAAAAAACAAGCCCCTTTAGCTATAAATAATGAAAATGGAAATTATAAATGCCATTATATTGAAACCATGAATACCTTTTTTAAATAGAAGCAAACAGTAAACACCTTACTAAAATTTTGTTTCATTAACAAGGGTTACTGCTTGACTTAGAGGTACCAGACTAACCCAAAGAGGTGAGCCCTGGAGACAGGACTCCTGTATCATGTTTGGGTGAGTCAGTAGCTATGTATCGTACAGGTTCAGAACTGTCACGGACCAGAATGCACAGCACCTCCCCAAGCTCTATCTTTTTAAGAAACCCATTTGTCCGTTCCTTTCGCCACTACCCAGAGATCACCCGTTGTTTGGCCACTTCACTGTTCCCTGTTTTTTCCACCCCGCAGTGCTGCTCTGTGCGTGTCCTGCCCAGCTTCCCTGCATGCTCCCTTTGCCACAGCTACGCTTCCCAGCCCGGGAACACGCTGATGCGAACGTGGCAGGGCCACGTTTACTGTGATTTGTTTGGATGTGCAAACAGAGCAGCACGGGGTTGCCCTGTGCAAAAAGCTCCTTTGCTTACATTTGTTGAAACTGGGGAAACGAGGATGTCATGACCTGGGCAGGAGAAAAACTCCACTGCAGCTCTAGTGCGGACACGACCTCCAACGCTTTATGCCTTCCGTGGAGTTGCGTTCCCAGCAGTCAAGCACTATCAGTAGAGGAAGTCTGACAATCTGATCAAATGTCTGGAACTTTTCATATCTCTTTTTTATCATTTTCCCTATGTTTGTGTTTCTCAGCCCTCATAAGCAAACGAAACCCAGTTAAGGCAGCTTACCAAATTAAGTCCAGTGCACTGAGTCACCACAAGTGTGGCAGAGGACACCTGGACAGCCCCGTGTTCTGTTCATCTGTGCCCACCTTAATCTCTTTCATGAAAGAAGGTTTAGGCTGACTCATTCTACCTCAAAATTGGAGCACCCAAGAGCACACTCATGTGTTAATAAGGCCAAGGCCAAGATGAGTTGAGCATCTGCTCTCTGTACAGCCGAGAGGCTTTATAGCTCAGCACACGTGCACTTGGGTCTGCTGCAAAATGGAGAATAAGTGGGATCCATATGGAGCCACCTTCAATGCAAGCCCATTTCTTTCTTCACTGCAGTAGAGGCTGAGCTCTAAGGGCAGGCACAGCAGTGCAGTCTGCAGGTCAGCGGCTGATGGTCTCAGCTACTTTCCATCTTCTCTCCAATGCTTTAAAAGCTTAAGCCAGGCTTGTGACTTATCTCCCCTTCGCATTCGCAGGCAGTTCCTGGACTGTAATCCAGAACAGAGTGGATGGATCACTAGATTTCAACCAAACCTGGGATGCCTACGCAAACGGTTTTGGTGACGTCAATGGTAAAAATGCCTTTTTTTAATGTTTTTATTTTGTATCAGTTGATTTGAGAAGCTGAACCTTCTTACTGAAAGGTATTCACATGAAAGCAGGCAAAAGCTGCAATCAAATCTTACCTAATTAGTGGAACACCAAAAAGTGCTTACCAGAAAACCTAACTCCATAGAATTCTCAAAGACACACCTTCAAACGTGTGTTTAGAAACTTTTGCTGAATGGAGGCCAGAATGCCTTAAATGCTATTTTAATTATTGAGATTTTACTATTTATAAAAGCACTCCTCAAAGCCTTTAAAATATACATATAAATGCAAAATCTCATCAAGATGCTGTCTCTGCTTTCTCTCAAACTTTCTGCATCCTGTTTCCCTTAAAACCATCATACCAATTTTCCCAGCCCCAAGAGAGCCCGAGGCTGTGTGCACTCCCCTGCACAAACACCTCTGGCTTCCACGCGGTGGCCAATCCCCTCCACGGCTGGATAGGGTGAGGGAACACCCATGTTCCCCTGTTAATCATCAACTCCAAAGAATTTGTAGCACCAAGTGCTGCCCAAGAGCCTCCCCATTCAGAATGTCTTCCCTGTTTTCCCTCGTACAATGAGATGACTCTACTTCTGTTTAGAAAATATTTTGAATTCCTAGGCATAGAACAGATCAAAAACTCACTAATGTTGGCAGCAATATTGACTTACTTCCTTCCACCTCTTCTACAAAGAGCTGCCATATCTCAACCTTTCTCTCATTTTGGGATAGTAGCTCACAACTGGAGGTAGACTTTTACCAGTATAGTTTGTCTGATATTGAATGCTACGGTTGCTCCTTGATTGGTCTCCAATTCCCACATACCACATCAACAGGAAGCCAGGTCTTTTCAGCGTCAGAAAGATTTTGCAGAGTATCACATCACTCTCAGCTATGTCCTACTCAGGTCTGTGCTGCATATTCCAAGGTGATAAAATATAACGCGCTACTGCTCCTTACCTGTAAATTGTGGGAGTATTGTACTCAACCATCTTGTCTTCTATTGTTTTTAAATGCCACCTGCATGTATGGCACTCGCATTCAGTTACACCAGTTCTACATGTGGCAATTACCTACTGTGCACTGACACCGGCGGCACTGATAATCAGCTACTTAGTGAACGTAATTTATGAAACAATTAAACTAATTATCATGAATTCTAGCAAAAGAGAAATGTTCGAGTTAAATTCACTTTGTACACAAGGGTATCGAAACCTCGGTTTAGTTCTGCAGCTCTTTCCTCAAAAAATACAACAATTGCAATTAGGTTTTATGTATGTCATTTGCTTCATTTGTCACACGGTTCCAATTACACGTGTTTTAAATGCCTTGAGCTCCCTCTCGGAGTTTCACAAAAGGCGGGAAAGTTGAGAGAGAAGTTCATCTATATCTCTTGTCTTTATTGATCACCAGTGTGCAATTAAGAAGAGGTAAACAAAAAGAATGTAGCAGGAGACCTCTGAAAAGATCAACAGTCCCCAAGACTCATATTATTGATTTAATTAAAGCAATGAATAAATCCTTTTAAATACTATATTTTCACACATACTACCCACAGGTTAACTGTAAAAACAAATTCGACAGCAGTGTGAGCGATATGGGATCTTAGGGAAAGTTTGTGACATAACCCCTTCCCCACTAACTCTCTGCCCAGTGACTTCTGTCCCCTAATCCTCACCTCTGACATCTCTCGACGCTGACATTGCACAGCTTATTTGAACACATATTCTCAAACACTGATATTTTAAAGGTGAACGAACTCTCTGAGGTATGGGTTAGAGATCTGAAAAACACGGTAAGTGTACTCATGCCTAGTTCCATATTAACAGCATCTATTTACTATGACTTTGCAGAGGAATTCTGGCTAGGCCTGGACAAGACCTACTCCATTACTAAACAAGGGGACTACATCTTACGGATTGAGCTGCAGGACTGGAAAGACAACAAACGTCACATTGAGTACGCGTTCAGCTTGGGAGGCCCCGAAACAAACTACACTCTCCAGCTTTCACGCATCTCCGGGAGCATCCCCAACGCGCTGCCGGAGCAGACAGAACTGCGGTTCTCAACTGTAGACCATGACGCAGACTTAATTAACAACTTCAACTGTCCAGAGAACTACCTAGGTACCAGTTTGCTGGGTGTATTAACATGGGAGTTTCTTTGTTACATGAAGGATGGTACTATGTCTTAGCGGGTAGTTGCTGTTATTAGCCTGATTTTAGATACAAAGAGAGGGTAGCAGCATCTTTCTCCTTGCAAGAAAAGGCAGGAGATGTTTTTTGTTGGCAGATAACAGGGTCCTACAACAACGAGGCATCGTCTTTCTATTTTATAGATCGGTAAAACTAAAGCATAGTGAGGCTGTGCAAACGACCAACATCAGAAACAGAACTAGCAGCATAGGTGGAAATAAAACCCCAGGATAAGATTCTGAGCTACAAAGTAAAGGGCAGTTCTTCCTCTGACACCTGCTCCAGTGTGGTGGCCTTAGGTCGGATTGTTTAATCCCTCTTTGCAAAAAAGTGAAGACAAACTGACTCAACTCCATTTTGACTACAAACCAGAAGTTAAGAACGATGGTGAGTTTCCACTCAAAGGCAGGTTTTAGCTGTTTGTCAAGTATACATGCTGCAATCGCTCTCAAAAGAGCAAGAGATGTGAGGCTGAAGATGTATTTCTCCTTACAGATAATTTGGTTAAAGGATTCCCAATTCTTTGACTTTAAGAAGCTTTTATGTTTTGCCAGTTTATAGCAGAAAGCGAAGAATTGAACAATTAATTAATGATTAAACCACAGGACAGAGAATTGCCCTCCAGACACCATTTTGTACGCCATTCTAGGCTTGAAAATTGTTAATGTCTGAAACTCTGTTGACAGTGTTACTCAGCGCTAATGACCATAAAGCCAAGGACTTCCAAAGTGCTAAACTTTCCATTTCAGCAGTCACTGCCAGTCCTCTCCAGGCAGAACTGGACTTAGAATTTAGGCTCATGTTTAAGGACACCAGCCTATAAAAGAGAATTTGTTCACTAGAGGCTCTTCAGCCTCCTGTAGATGCAGAGATTTAACTATATGAACCTGAGAAAAATATCAGCAAATCAGAAAGTCAGTTGTAGCAGGTCAGGGGAAACATGGAAGCGCAGAGCTAATGTCCTAAGTGTCCCAATTCAGTGGCAGCATTTGTGTGTGCAGTTTTCTATGCATCACTACTTTTTTTGTGAAGCAGACAATAACAGGGAGCACAACTTCTTTATATTGGCCCTCAGCTTGCAAGTGAGTGTATGTACAAGCCCCATTTCATTTGGGTATACTGGCTAATTGTCACTTTTGCTGGAACTGGTCTAAAGATTTATGTTGCAAACAGGAGCTGTCTACTTGGAAACTGAGCACAGTATGTTAGGGTACAACTGAGAGTAACTGGCATTATGATATTTTTCCTTAGGAGGCTGGTGGCACAGCGAATGTGAGGAAACCAATCTTAATGGGAAATACGTCGCACCAAGGTCAAAAGGAAGACTGGACAGAAGAAAAGGCTTATACTGGAAGCCTAAGAAAGGAAGATACTACTTGCTCAAGTCAACCAAAATAATGATACACCCCACAGATTTAAAAAGTTTTGACTGAATGCTCAACCTGACGCATTTTAATTCAGAACATACTCACTGAACATTACTACATCAGAGAAGTTCACGTTATGCTTAATAACAGATGCGTGTCTAAATCCATACGCTGTACGGTGTGTTCTCCAACACATAAACCTGAGGCATGTGCGATGGTCTGACAGTATGTTTGGTGAGTATTCTCATTCCCCCTAGCCCCAATGCGCTGTAACTTTCCCGGAGTTTTTCCCTCCCTAGGATGAAACTCTAATGCCTGGGAATCAACCACCTACCCATGTACTAAACAATATTGCTCGGGGGAATGGGTTTTCAGGCTGTTGCAATCGTTTCTGGGTCGTGTAGTAGGGAACATGAAAAGTGCTTCAGTAAACAAAAGGCTGGCAAAGAGCTACAGAAGCCATTTAGGCATTAATCTGTCAGGAAAAAAAGAAATTGTTTCCTAAAGTAACTAATTCGATGTCCATGTGATGGTTGTGGAATGTTTCCGCGAGCAAACGAAAAGATGGGCAATTCCCCATTTCAGGGTCCTGCATATTTGCAGACAAATTTTCAGCAATGTAGCTCAGGCCAATCTTCACTGAAGCACTGTACTCACGCAGCTGTAGATCTGTACACACACATCAAATAAGCCACAGCACAGACCTCATCTTTGAGAGACCACACTTGGAAGAATAACTTAACTTTCAGTAAGAAAACGTAGCTCTTAAGAGCTAAGCTTCAAAGCTTACTGAAATAAATAAGAGATCTTTTCTTCTCATTTGAAACGGATTCAGAGCCATCCCTTTGTGACCTTTTAGTACACCTGAGAAATTAAATGAAAGACTAAAAAGAAAACCAACTCTGTCCCAGCCGAAACCAGGACAGCACACGACAAAACACCTTTCAAACAGAGAACAGTTGCCCAAGGAAGGCAACTCCACCGGAATCAGCGGTACCAACCAACAAACCCTGCAGGCACAGCCTACGTGACGGGGCTGGTCCTGCTCCTGAGAAGACATTCACAATTGTTCAACTTCAGCTGCAGAATACTGTAAGGCAGAAGGACTATCGACATGTTGGGGACAGCCAGCTGTGACAAAGACCCCAATTCTGCAGTTACATTGAGTCATATTGACTTGTTTATCTTATCTAACCCTTGTACAGTAGGGATTTTTTATCTCAACTTTTGCAGAAAATGGTTTTAAACTGTGATTTGTCAGAGTGAAACAACTGTGAATAAAATGTGCTAATTACAGAGAAACTGAAAAAATACTCCTACTCCTCATGGATTTATTGCAAAGAAGAGATCACACAGTGCTGCTTATTTGTACTGGGGTATTGTAATGTCTAGTTACCTGTCCAACCTCTAAAAAGAAATAAATAAGTAAATTAAACTTTTGAAAAGACATGATATGAAACTTGACTAAACTCTTTCTTGTAAGCTTTGGTTTATAAAAACCTGGTTTGTATTCATCTAACTTTTAGAAGAAGTAACTGATTTGGTGAGCAAGTTGGTGAAATTACTCAACTGAAGAAGACAATCCTACTCAGAGGTGTAGCATCTTCAAAGATACTGTGAAAAAGTTTTAAATGAATAGCGGTACATAACGAAAAGAAACCTGATCCCTGTCCGGGCTTAGTTATAGAAAGGTTATTGTTTTCCAAGATACTTCAGAAATATTTCTTATTGTCCAGATCTTCAGAAGATTCTTTTTCAAGCATTCAAGTAAACAAAGAAATTGCTTTTAAATCAAAATGGAAGTATGAACGCAGGGAGTATGCATTTTCTTCATTTTTATCCTCCCACTTTAAAGAAAAAAAGTCACTGAAAGTGTGAGAAAGTATTAGAAACAGTTGGAGAATTATGACTTTAGCACACGCAGAAAAAAAAACTACATAAAACTGAAAAGAACTCAAATAAATTTCACTGTGAATTTTAGGAAACAGAGAAACTTCTCTCATGTTTCTGTTCCCACCCAAGTTTTCTGCAAATAATATATCTGTCCCTTCACATCTGTGTACTTTCTGCTGTGTCAGTCTGGACCCTTTTTGTGCCTCTGGCACAGCAGATCTCCTGATACAGCAAGTTTTGCAACAAACCAGATGATAAGGTAGAAATTCCTAGATTTGCCAGTCTCAGGTCCTGAAATGTGAAATGTATTTCAAAACTCTAACCTGTATGTGGTATTTGGAACGTAGACATCCCTGGCAGGAAACTCCAGGATTTCTCTTGTAGGTCTAACTCTGCTGTCTGGGTAAAGTTTGACTTGCAGCAACTCTGGAGTTAGACAGTAATGGGGATTCTCTGGAGCTGGAGATATGTCTATCTTTAATTGAGCTGTAAGAAGAAAATGGTTTTATGACAATAAGTAGAAGTTAAATATAAATAAAAGAGCACATTCATGCTTTGTTTCTTCAGGTTAATAGCCTATATATGAATTTCATAAAGAAATTATAAATTACAGCCTCTGTGGATTTGTTAAAAACAAGTAATAGTGAATCAAACTGGTATCTAGAGCAACTGGGGTACCAGATAATAAGAATCAACAGAGAAGATATATCTTAACAAGTCCCAAATGCTATTCTCATAAGCAAGTTGGGGAAATACTGTAATAATGCTACTGTGAGGCCCAAATACCGTTTAAAAGCAATATTTAAAGTCTTATAAGGAATCTTGCCTATCAAACCAGAAAGGTACATCAGGAGCTGCTGAAAGCTGATCTGCTCCAAGATTATTGAATATTTTCCTTAGCAAGTCAGCTGACTACTGACAGCACTGAGGCTGGAATGACCGTAAAAATTTGGAAGACAGGAGAGTTGGAGAAATGGCATCAAACGACTAAGGTGGAACATAAGGGACTTGCATTAAAAAAACAGAAATAACTGGCATGGATCAGTTCTGCAGAAAAGGGCTGGGTGACAGTAGTGACAATATGCCAATGTCCAAAAAACAATTACAACTGTTCTAAGATATATTAGTGTAGTGTCATGTGTAAGACACTGGAGACAAATTTATCTGCTTTGCTTGGCATGAGGTCTGTCCTGGTTTCACTGGGATTGAATCATAGAATTGAATTTCTGTTCAGAAAAGCTACATTTCTGAAGTAAGCTGCATTTTTCAGAAGACTGCAGCACCCCATTCAGTGAGAACAAAGTCAATGAGACAGTTTCAGTTCATGGACGGCCATGGTATCCATGGTGCTCAAGGACTTTGCAACTCGTTTTTGCTAATGGCCCAGATGTCCAAGAACCTGGGGGTAGCATACCACGTAAGGTCACGCTCACTATCATTTGGAAAATTTGTTGCGGATGGTCTCTCTTTCTCAATGGTCACCATCTCTGGAGGGTCTCACCCATCATTCTGTTCCCAAGGCCTACTACTCCTTTTCCAGGATTGCAGTTTCAGGACTTTCCTGCTCTGGGATCACTAGTCAGGAATGGGCTGGACATTGGTCAAGGGGTGGTGAGCAATTGCACCGTACACCACTTGTCTGCATGTATCATTATTAGTTCTCATTTATTTTATTTAAATTACTAAACAGTTTTTGTCTCAATTCATGGGTCTTCTTTCCTCTTCCTAATTCCTCTTCTCCAGTGGAGAGGGGTCGCTGGGTAATAGAACAGCTGGCTATTGTTCAGCCCCAGATGCAGGCTAAACATAGTCAAGGTCTTAGGAAGAGCAGCATACTCAGCTTAGAGCACTGCACTTGAAGAAAAGCATGGACACATTAAAGAAACTCTAGCAGAGAGTAACAGGCAATTTTAAAATCACAACCTTTGAGGAAGGGTTGAAAAAAACCTGAGGTTGGTTAGGCCACGAAATGGAGGCGAGCAAGAGTGAACTAATAACAGTATTCAATACTTGAAAGGTTGTGATAACTGCCCTGAGGGCATGACAGACCATAATCAGATTAATTGGCAGCGAGACAATTTTGCAAAGTTTTCTTAATACCTAAGCTCACTACAAGGACAGCCGAGTGCTGGGAGAGATGGTCTAAGGAAGCAGTAGGATTGCTGTCGCTGGAGATTTTTAAGAACAGGTTAAGTAAATATTGTCAGGAATAGCACAGGTCAGGGACCAGGGATGTTTCACTGCTGGAGTGCCAGTGTTTTTATTTCCCTTTCTCAAACAGAGGTGGAGTCTCTTCCTATTAACCAAGTGGGAGCCAGGAGACAGGTCTCCTCTCACCTAGAGAGGTATTTTACTCAAGAAAACAGAGGTTCCTCAGCCCCTGCAGGGTTCAGGGCTTTGGGGTTTGCATCCTCTTCTCGCAGATGCTACTCTCGGTGCGACAGGAGCTGCGTGTGCACTCGTGCCAGTGAAAAACCTGCCAAAATGCCATCTTTAGTGCTCGTGGTCTACCCAGGATTGCTGTCAACGACTTCATGGGGTTTTTTCATCTGCTTACTTCTAAGAACTGGGTGGCAATTGGGAAGGACTAACCAAATACCTTAACACATGTGAGCCACACAGATCTCGTTCAATACCTGTGATAGGTCTCAATCTCCGTAACACTGATGATGGTCGTCTCATGTCAGCAAGGAACTTGTACAAATCTTCGTCGCTCAGGCGATCACCCTCCTGTTGGGTGTTGGGAAGAAAATGGTTATCTACACAACCCTTCAGGACTGTGAGAGAATGAATAAACTATCTCATACTATAGTCTCTTTCAGCTGATACCAAAATGTACCTTCCCAGAACAAGGTGTTAAGATTAACTTGCTAAATTATAGCTCATTTCTCCATCCTTTTTCCTTCCCTTTTTCCTTATTAATCAACGTGACAGCTGCAGGAGCTTCTCATTGAAAACCTTTTCTCTCCCCATCAATATTATCTTTTTCAAAACTGAGAATGGTTGTTAAAAGATTTCTCCCAAATACCCAATTTTTAGCAAGTATAATAGTTTGAAAAAGTATCTGTCATTCAGGTAGTGATCCTCACTCCTCCTTCTCTGCCTTTTCCTTGGAACGAGTCTAAAAGAGCCTTACTTTTCAGAAGTGCTAAGAAACGGTGGGAAGTGGAAGGATTCTGTTGTCAGTCATCCTTGTGCCACATTCTAGTAGCT